TTTAGAAAGACTCTGTCTCAAAACAACCAAATAAATAAGGCTGGGGTTATAGCTTCGTGGTAGAGTGCTTGCCTACCATACAGGGGGGCCTGGGTTCAATCCCCAGTACTTTAGTACAAAAAGGAATCCACTTACTCTATCAGCCTCCAGTCCTTTGCCTAGAGGAATGGGAAGAAACTTTAAAGGCTGAACTGATCTGCAATCCAAGGCTAAATCAGCAAATCAGCAGGGAGTGGATGGACAGGACGAAGTGATTGAAGAGAAGCCTGAAAAGGCTGAGCCAGGGAGGACTGGGGCAGTTTGGAGACCCTCAGAGAGGCATCCTGGAGCAGCCACTGTGTGGGAGAGATGAAGAAAACCGCTGCTGCTGACCCGGCCTGTGCACTGATAATGTCACAGCTCACGGTGGTGCTAACGCTGCTGGGTAAGGCTCGGGTCACTTCCGGTTGTTTTGTGCTTTGCTGAGCTGTTGTTTCCTTGAAAGTGACTTCTGGTATGGAGATCTCTCGAAAAACTAAAACTAGAAATTCCATTTGACCCTGCTATTCCCTTTCAAGATATCTTCCCAAAAGAGTTAAAGACATCATATTACAGTGATATATGCATACCCGTGTTGAGGCAGCACAACTCATAATAGTAAATCTTGGAAGAGACCTATAGGTCCTTCAACAGATGAATGGATAAAGAAAATGTGGTATTTACACACAGTGGAGTACTACTCTGCCATAAAGAAAGATAAGCTTTAGTCATTTCTAGAAAAATGGATGCACCTCAAGACCATAATATTAAGAGAAATAAGTCAGACACACAAGCACAAATATTATAAGGTTTCTCTTCTATGACAAACTCAAGGTATACATAATTTAAAGACCAAAATAAAATATAGGTAATAGGAAACAGAGAGATAGATCTTTTGCAAATGTCAGGAAGACAAAAAGATGGAGGGAGAGGGAGGAAGAGGAAGGTTAGGGGATGTAACGAGTTAAAATGTGACAAGGGAGGGACATCTGCAACAGTAAGACCTGTTCCTTAGGAAAGGGCAGTAGGAAAAAAGGCCTCAACAGACCCCCCCCCCCAGCACTCTGCAGAGAGGCAGGTTTGGCTTCCATCCCCAGATCTAGGCTCTGTATGGCTTGCGCTGCAAGGGTCCTTGCCCATCCCAGACAAGGTATCGTAGAGAGATAGACAGTTATCTTTTGTGAGGATGCACTCAGTTCAGCTCTGAAGCCACAGGCGCAGTCTTGTTCTCAAAAACCAAAAGTTTGCAGGTGGAAGGAGCCAGGGTGAGGCCTGGCCACCCAGAGACTGCAGACTGGTACAGCCTCTCCTGGACTCAGAGCAGGGGGGCGGGGGAGGGGGGCGTTGCCCCACAGGGAGGTCTCAGGGTCACAGCAAGGCCGGGTAAGGTGGAGTTGGCATCAAGCAGTGGGAGAGCTTGCCACCTCCAAACTCTGCCCCCTGGATCCTTAGGAGGAACACAGGGCCCTTCTAGAAGACTAGCTTCCAGATGTTCCTTGACAACACTCAGAGCACATCTAAATCGGAGCTTCTTGGCTTTGGGGCAATTGACGTTTTGGGTGGGCTAATCCTTTGTAGTGGGGGACTGTCCAGTGCACTTTACGGGTGTCTAGCAGCACCTCTGGTCTCTACTCACTAGATGTCACAGCACCCTTCAGGGTGACAACAATTGATGTCTCCGGACATTGCTAGGTGTGCTCTGAGGGGCACATTTGTGAACTGCTTGTCTAACACAGTCAAACAGCTTTGTACGCCCTGGTGAAGCAAGCCTCCCAGCACCCAGGTGTGCCTGAGTCCGGGCCGAGGTTATAGGACCGGGGTGTCCACCCGGGGTCTTCCTGGGAGATTCCTTTTGGCTCATTTCTCTCACTTCCCAAACAATGACATGAAAAGTGGCTGCTGAGCCCCCTCCGCTCCTCAAATCAGTGTATGGAAGATGCATTAATTTTGCAGCAATCTCCCTTTGTCCCCCCAGGAACATGTTCCAAGACCTCCAGTGAATGCCCAAAACAGTACCCAATACTATATATTGTTTTTCCCTATACATGCACAGCTATGATAAAGTTTAATTTATAAATTAGGCACAGTGCCAGGTGTGGTGGTGCAGGCCTGTAATCCCAGCATTTGGGAGGCTAAGGCAGGAGGACTGCCGTGAGTTCAAGGCCAGCCTGAACTACGAAACAAAACAAATAAATAAATAAATAAAATTAGGCATAGTGAGAGATTAACAACGATAAGTACTAATGCAATAGAACAGTTATAAAAATATAATATGATAAAAGAGATTTAAAACAGGAGTTATAGCCGGGGGGGGGTGCACACTTGTGATCCTAGCACTCTGGGAGGCTGAGGGAGGATTACAAGTTGGAGCCCAGCCTGGGTGGCTTGGTGAGACCCTGCTTCAAAATAAAAGATAAAAAAGGTCGGGGATGTTGCTCAGTGTGAAGACCTTGGGTTTAATCCCCAGTACTGCAAACAAAACAATCAGGAACTGTTTATTTTCAGACTGCGGTTGGATAAGTGAAACTGCAGAAGGCAGAGTGGGTAGGGGTGTGCTGCCTTTGAGACACAGTGGAGAAGGATGCAGGGGTGGGCTGGCTGTGTGTGGTAAGGATGGCAGCGCTGCCCCTGTTGCCAGGGGTCACACATTTCCTGCTCCCCATTTAATCGACCCACTGCTGACTTCCTTTGTGGGGTTCTCTTGCTCCCAGATGTGCAATAGCATTGCAAACCTTCTAAGGCTGGTTCTCTGTCCAGCCCCAAACTCATCCTCCTAGTCCCTCCCACTTCAGTCTTCAAGCTGCCAGGGCCCCAAACTGGGGAATCTGCACATCTCCCCTCTTCGTCTCGCACCCCACACCCAACCTACCAGCAGCCTCTAGTGGCTCCAGTAAGATCCAGGACCCATTCTGCCATGGCCCTGCTCCAAGCCAGTCACCTCACCAGGGGTCTTCGTTTCTACATCATCCTCCTGCAGCCGGCACCAACACAGTCGCCCAAGGCTCTTGCTGAGAAGCGTGACCATGTCGCTCTGCATTCCAAACCTCCCACCGGTGCCTCGTTTCATCTCCCAGGGTGAAAGCCACACTTGCTATGGCATTGCGTCCCCCATGCCTCCTTCCTCACTCTACTTTCTGGATGTTCATTAAATATACCAGCATGGTCCCACCCCAGCGCCTCTGCAAGGCTGTTCTCTCTGCCTAGAGAGCTCTCCTTCCAGATTCCCACACATGTAACCTTCACTTTCTTCAACCTATTTTTCAGTATTTTCATTGAAACTTTCCTGATCACTCTTTGAAATTGTATCCATGCTTCCCCACTTCTGATCCCCCATACCCTGGTTTTTTCCTCTTTCAGAACTTAGCACATTCCAACAAATTGCATTATTTGTGTATTAGTTGTGGTCTTGTCACTCTCTTCTCAACAGACTGCACTCTATGCTTGTCCTCCCTACTGAAACCCAGTGCTCAGAGCAGTGTTTGGCGCTGAGTAGATCCTCAGTAAGGATTTGCTGAATGAATGAATGAATATTAGTTGAGTTCTTTCATTTTCTTTGAAGAGGAAATAAAAATGGAAGAACATTTGGGGAATAGAGGTGAAGGTACAGATGAGGGTTAAGTCTTCAAAAGTACAAGCAATTAGCTGGTCTGATCACAATACTATGCACAAATGGAAGTAGCAGCACAGAAAATCTGAAAAAAAAGCAAAACCAAACCCAGATAATCTAGTAAGTATCTGTTTCAATTGCATTACATGAAGTTGTGGTTTATTCTCCTTCCTATTTTCTTAAGTAGCATGTATACTGTGTGTGTGTGTGTGTGTGTGTGTGCACGCACACGCGCGCATATGCACACACACCAGGTAGAATGAAGATGAATTTGAAAATTATTTTAAAATAATCCACAGCCCAGACACTTTCATTTCTTGATAGATTGCAAGTATTAGATGTGCTGCTGAATTGGACTACAGACTTCCATGTGGCTTCAACTATGGAAGGTGTTACGCCTCATTGAATGTTGATCAGACTGTTTGTGGATGTGGGTTCTGTGGGCTTCTCTGGGTTTCTAATTCATCCCTTTACGGTGTTGAGCTCGGCTGTGGAGTAGGTAGGACTGGGCTCATCCCAAGCTGGTCACAGTGATGCATTAAGGGACCAGCACCTGAAACCACTGGGACTCAGAAGGAAGTTCAGGCATCATTTATGTTGCAAGGAGAGATTTTTCTCTCCCTCTCCCCAAGGCTATGAAATATAAAATGGCCACCCTTGCTACCAAGAAAGAGGCTCACTTGAGGATGAAGAAGACAAACAGAAGAGGACAAAACTGCATCGGAAAAGTTGAGCCATAATTCTACTGACTTTGCAAGCTTCTGGATCATACCCTGATGTCTGCCCCCTTTTCTCTCTCTTCTTCCCTCTCCTTCCTCCCTCTCTCCCTTTTTCTATGTACAAACTATATACTCCCATAAGCCACTATAAACCTGGGTGTCTTACTTGCAACAAAAGGCACCTTGATCGTTGATCTCCCCTCCTGCTCACTGACATTGAATGTGTCCTGCCTGAATACATGGCTGTTATATACGTGCATACAGGGACACATTTCAAAATCTTAAGGCCTCCTTGTGGTTTACATTTATCTGAGGCCGCATCTCTCTGGCACCAATGAAAATAATGACTCTCTCACAAAGAGCAGTAGAGGGGCTTCTCAGACCTGCACCCTACTTCTCAAGTTGCCCTCAGTTTTGCTGTGGATCCCTTTTGTTGTTAGTTTGCAGTGCTGGGGATTGAACCCATGGCCTTGTGCGTTCTAGACATGCAATGATCAATCATGCTTTTAAAATGCCTGCATGACCCTCCCACCCTGACAAGTCTGAGGCTGTGGCTCCCCCAGTGGCCCGGACTCCTTTCAGCCTGACACTGTGGGGCAGTGCTGTCCAGAGCACGAGCCTGGGAAGATGTGTGAAGAAACTCTCCAACAGGCCTTTCCTTTATTAGATTCCAGATACATGGGACCAGAATGGAACCGGGGTGGAAGAAGCTAGGGTGTGTGATTTACAGGGGGTCCTTGGGGGAACATATACAGGGTAGAAATACGTACAGGGGGTGACACGGCAATGAGGGGCTGCCATTTAAAAAATATATACATCTCAAGAAGCCATTCCAGTTGTTTTATCATTACAAAATAAAGCCATCTTTCCACACAGTGCTTTTCTTTGGTGCTGTTCTGTGGGCACAGACCCTGGGCCCATTAAGTCTTTGTCACTTCTCCTATCTGGCTGGGGAGGAGTCTGGAAAGGTGTCCTGGCACAGATGGGTGCCCCTGTTCCTCTCAGCCCGTCACCCCACCCCCCAAGCCTTCTCGACAAGCCTCTAACTCAAACTGTAGCCTGGGAAATCACGAAAGCGTCCACATGCAGACACTGAAGATGCTATCAAATGCACACATGACAAAGCCATCTGGAGCCTTGAGGGAGGAGCGGGACAAGGGAACCCAAACAAAATCCAGCCAGCACCACCTTCTCCATGGTTGGATTTGTTTTATTTCCTGGTTTGTTTCAAATGACCTGTATCATGAGTGTACAACTAAGAAGGGATGTTTCCTCTTTACAGATTTTCCAGAAATGGCAGACTAGGGGGTAAACTTGGGTTCTGTTTGGGGGTGCTGGGTCTTCACTCTCCTTCTGTCCCCATTCCCACTAGGTCAGTGCCCTGCTCTCCCTTTGGAGGCCCCCATCTGGCCTCCCACTAAGAAGCGGGCCCCTACCCCTCTGCTCCAGATGCTCACACCCCAACTTGTCTCACCAGGAGTCTTCAGATCAGGCCCTAAGGATTGTTAGACTTGCGGTTTAGCCTGGGTTTCCTAAGGTCCAGAAGGTACCTCTATGTTGAACATGTGTGACCACCAGATCAGACAAAGGGCAACATGGTGACTCCAGTAGGGACTCATTGGGTGACTCAAGACCTGACTTCCCACAGGTAAAAGGGACGGGATCTCTCAGAATCCTTACTACTCTCTACATGAGGACATGGGCATGTGGTCTGCAGTGGCTCGGTCTGGTCAGCCTCCTGCCTGGATGACCTCGGCAAATCCCAGCACAGAGGGTCAGGCCTGGTGGTCTCAGGGTGTCAGGCCAGGGAGACCAGCAGAGCTGCTTCCAGCAGAAAAGCCTGCAAGAGGAGCCTGCTGCCCCAGTGCCAGGCTAGAGCTGCTGGTCTTTCCTGGTGAGGGGAGGCTGGGCTAGCAGGGTGTGGACTGAGGACCCAGGCCCAGCTGCTCTGATCCCTGCTTCAGAAGATGGCAGGGGCACTTTCCATCATGGACTGAACCGCCTTGATGCCCAGGGGTCCTCCATGCTGCCAACCCATGAGCACCGATGGGGAGTCAGAGCTGCCCCTAGTGTGGGTGAGAAGTGGCTTCGCAGCCACCCACAGCAGCAGGGTAAGCAACTGTCCCATGCACCTGGGCTGAGGGGTTTCCTGGGATACAGAATCCTGCGTGAAAACCTGGGAAGTCCTTGGGAGAACTGGATGGTGGTGATCCTACAGAGCAGCCAGAGACTGTGGGAACCCTGCCAGGGCTGGCCCAGGGAGCTGTCTCTGCCTGAGGGCGGCAGGAGGCCATCCTTCCTTTGGCAGATGTGCCCTGCTTCTTTGGATTGCAGAGGGAGTCTCTCACTTATTCCTTCCGTCAGTGCCCTTCCCTCCCCAGGGCACTGGATCCCACTGTCCTAGAGGCCAAGGACCAGGCAGGCTGGACTCCTGGTCCCCTTTGCAGTTTCCCTGCACCCCACTGTGGCCAGGCCTCTCTATCCTGCTGGGATTCTTCCAGGGCTGCTGGCCTCAAGCAAGAGCCCCCATCCCTGGAGGGGGGTGGGACCTGGAACTTCCCACAGGCCCCAGGTTTTCTGGGGAGCAGACTGGACCCACTCTTCTGAGCCAGCACATCCCTATCTCCCTGCCTGGACACACTTCGGCTGGCTGAAGCCCCAGTCTGAGTAAGCCTTGAGGTAGGGGAGGGCCTCCTGGGGGAGGAGAGGAGAGAACAGGTGGCCATCGGTGCAGCAGTGGGAGGTGAGTAGGAAGCACCGAGGGGTGGGTGCCCAGGGAAACACGGGAGCTCTTGCCACTGCTCCCTAAGGTGCACCGGGCTGGGAGGTGAGCATGTGTGGGGCTGAGAAGGGATGGATCCACGAGGACAGTGGGAGGTACAGGAGCACCTGAGGGTCCAGAGGACCTCAGGGCAGACAGGACCCCTGGAAGCCGCTGCTGGTGACCCCTAAGGACCCGGCCTCTGTGGAAGGATCCTCCAGGTGGCACCTATATGAGTTCCCAGAGTCCTGAGTGTCAAACACTGCCCACCCAGGCTCAGACCAGGGACGCGTCAGGAAGCATACATGCTGCCTCTCGGTGGTCTGGTAGGGAGAGGGGCGCTTCCTCCAGTGGTCTCCAGTGTCAAGGGGAGTCAGCCCTGGCCCGGGCCTCAGTGCTGCCCATGGAGAAGGAAAAATGTACCAAAGAAAAAGCAGGTGACAGATGAGCCCCACGCCCTGCCCTCCCATCCCTGCCCCCGACCCCTGCACCCAGGAGTCTGCACACACAGCCCAGAGGCAGGAAGTCCCTTCTCTGGGACGATACAGGGGCCAGAGGTCGAGGCTGGAGGCAGTGAGTCTCCGCATTGGTCCGTCCATCTGTCAGTCCGTGTGCTGGGCCATCAGACCTTGGCCTCCAGCATCTCCAGGAAGAGTTTGTGCATGGGCACCTTGCCCTGCAGCTTGACGCTGTAGAAGTGCTGCACAGCCTTGGCGGCTGTCTGCCGCAGCAGGGGCAACGTCAGCAGCAGCTTGCCCGTCCTCCGAGGCTCCTCGTGGCGCTGGCTCAGCTCATAGTCCTGCAGTGCCTCGTGCAGCAGGTCCTGCAGCTTCTGCACGGCCTCCGGGTCCTCAATGTACATGGAATCTGTGGGCACAAGGCGGGCATCAGTATGAGGGGCAGGGACCAGCAGGCAAACGGGGCTACCTCTAACCCTCACTTTACAGAGCAGAGCCGGGCTCAGAGAGGTCACAGAGGCTGAGGACAGAATTGGGGCTCAGACCCAGGGAAGGACACACATCTGTGGAGGACATTCCTCAAGAGTCTACCAAGAGGAGGTGGCAGAGACACTACGGGGCTGAACCTGGGCAGACCTGTACAGTGGACCCTGGAGGGTGACTAGGGAAGTTAACTTCTCTGTGCCTTGTCTTCCTCATTTGTGAACCTAATTCAAATGGCTCAAGTTACAGTTAAGGGTTCAGAGGTGCGTGCTGAGTGGAAGGCTCACTCCCCCACCACCATCACTCTACAGAGCTTACATTCCCCACAGCCTCCTGCTGCTGCCACACACCGCTCCGCAGGCTGTGCTGTCTTCACACAGTTCTGGTTATAGACAAAGAAAGGGGCTGAGCTCTCTGCTACGGTGCCCTGAGGTGGGAGGCATGGGGCACAGTGGTGGACAGAGCTGCTGGGCCTTCTCTAAGATCTTAGAGACAGGGTAGGGTAGAGCAAGCACTTGCCTGGCATATATTAGGCCCAGGCTCTATCCTCAGTAGTGCATAAATATATGCATTGGGAAGGGTTTTGAACTCAGGCCATGGATAGGTCTGAAGAAAATTTCCTGAAATCTCAGCAGAGCAGGGAGGTAACCACTGGGCCACAGTTGTGTCTGAGCCAAACAAAGCGAAGAGAATCTCCAGGATGCCACTCCCTGGGGGAAACTAAGCAGACTTCTGACCTTTCCTAAAGGACCCGGGTCCATCCTGAACTGCAACCCCAAGGCTTGCCAGAGGTGGCAGGGGAGGGGAGGCAAGTCATCAGGAAGGCTGCACAAATTGCTCGAATTCCCAGAAAAAGCAAACAATTGGGGGGGGGGGCTGCTTCTTGATTGGCTGAGATCGCAGACTGCCAAGGGGAGCTGCACTAACTGGCTGACCCCAGCGACCCCTGACCCTACCTCTCTGGCTCCTGCCTCTTCCTTTTGAGTAGGGAATGGCAGAAAAAGGTAGAAAAGCATTTAGGGATGCTGTGTGACTTTAGCCAAGTTACGCAGTCTTTCTGAGATTGTTTCCTCATCTGTAACATGCAGCAAAAACAAATGCATACTTACAAGGCACTGTGAAGAGTGATGAAACAGCACTTTACTAGGCACTTGGTAAACACCCAGTAGACATTACCTACTGTTATTATTGTGGGGACTCAGTCTGGAGGTGATGCTTTTGCAGGACTGGGGTGATATACTGGTACCACACCCAAGGGTCCTCTAATTTTTTAACTCCCGGCTGTCAAGCCAGTGAGGACTCTTCCTTTGCCAACTGAAAGATGAAATGAGATGAAATATGGCTCCCTTCCTACACTCAGCCATTTACTGTGTGCACTCAAAATGCGGCTGTCTCTGCCAGGCTGGGCCCTGAACATGCCCACTCCCCGACTGTGGCCAGCCCCTCCCCCTTGTCACCCACCCCCACGCTCCCCAAGGAGGCCAAAATTGGCAGGCGCCTTCGACCAAAAATGAAATAAAATAACATTGCAAGATTAATTCCTTCACGATCCATCAGCAAGGCTGTATTGATGGCATTGATAAACTGTTAATTACAAAATCAATGGCTATGAATTTTTTCTGTTGTCAGACGGGTCTGGAGATGGTTGGGATGCAGGGTGAGTGGTGGTCATCAGGCTCCTGAGGGGTGAGGTGGGGGGCCACAGTCTGTCTCCGAGGAGCTCCGCCCCTCTGCCTGGCGTCCCAAGCCACTGAACTCACCCAGGTCACCTCATCCACTCAGCCTCAGCAGTGGCACCGAGAGTGGTCCCTGGTGCTGCCCCCATGACCTCTCAGTGGTCTGGCCCATCTCTCCTCCAGCCAACACACTCTCCCCCGGCTGCCTGGCTGATTTCCTGCCTCAAGTCTAGGGACAGGTCTCACACCCAGGACCTCTCCTGGCTCCTGTGGTTACCCCATCCCACTCTGACCTTCCCACGCTGCTCTTCTAGCCACACACCCCAGGGGCCTGTTCTAACCTGAGTCCTGCCTCTAGCTCAGTGCTCTGGGACACAGCAACACAGCATCCCCTCCCTCTCCCAGGCCTGCTGAGTCCTTTTTGGATTTAGGATGCTCCTGCCCAGCTGAAGGCTCCTCCCTGGAAGGTCTCTACATAGAGCTTCCTTTGAGGTGTGTGGGGGGGACACGCCAACTTTTGCTCCAGCTATGCCCGTGTTTTTTCCCCCAGGACAGGGGCTCCATCCACTGGCCCCCTCAGACTGCCCACGGCAGCCCTGTCAGAGCCGAGCAGAAGCTCCAAGAACAAGGAGAGATCTGGAGCAGGCACCAGCCCTGTGCCTTAGGTGCATCACTGTGTACTTGTCTTCATAATGTGCTTCTGCTCCCCTTATTTCAAAGATGAGACACTGATGCTCAGGGAGGTCAGGCTGCTTGACACTTAGCAACCAGGTGGCAGAGGCAGGATTTGAACCCAGATTTGGCTGACCATGAAGTCTATGCTTTAAACCTCTGGAGGAGTGGCTAAGGTGCTTCCCTCTGAAGATGTGAAGCACAGGCCGGTGACACTCTTCTGTATGATGTCATGGTGGAGAAATGGCATTACATTTTGTCAAAACCCAAAGATAGGTACAACACCAAGGGAGCCCTAATGGAAACCATGCACTTTAGTTAAGAATAACACATCAATATTGGCTCACTAATTAACAAATTACCAATGCAAGATGTTGAGAGGAAACTACACTAGAGATGGGGTGGAATATGGAATTCTACACACTATCTGCTTGTTACTGTTAATCTAGAACTATACTTAAACACAGCCTTAGTTTTCTCCAACAAATATGTTACAGCTTTGGAATTTGAAAGTATAACTGATCTCTCCAGAAGTATGTGAATTTTTATTATTTTGCATTCATTTATTATTAATAAAAAGCAATTGAACAAAACAAAATGTTTCCCTCTGTGTTGGGTTAGATTCCCCAGGAGCAGAGCCCAAGGCAGAGACTGCAGTCCAGGCAGTGAGGGAGGCTGAGTGTTCAGGAGAAAGGAAGTGGGGAGGCAGGGAGCTCAGGGAAGGTGAGGCCTATGCCGTGCAGGGCTCTGCTCCAGATGCTGTTCCTCCACTCGAGTCCTCTGCTGGCTGACAGAGCCAGAAGGCAACTCGGGTGAAGGGGCAGCTGTGAGCTGCCAGCAGCAAAACTCACAATCTGGGGGTAGAAGCACAAACTGGTAAAGCACTCACTGAGTGAGGCATCAATGGTGTCCCCTGCGTGTACCATGAAGCCGTGTGTCAGGGTGACTGGCTGTCCTGGTTTGCCAGGTACTTCTTCGGGGTTTCCTGAAACTGTCAATAAAAGGTGGGCAGTGTGGAGCAAAGCAGCTGGTTATCCTGTGTGTGCCTCTTCCATCTGCTAATACTTTGTTCCCTCGAACTCCCATAACCACAAAATGGAGCACTTCCTCTAGGCCAGACACTGGGCTAAGGACTTGATCTTCGCTGTCTTTAATACTCACAGAATGCCTGAAGAAGGTATGTAGACTGTCCCCACCACACACACAAGGGCACTGAGTTGACCAAGATCTTGGTGCCAGCATCAGAGACAGAACTTAAACTTGGACCCATCTGACCCAAACCTGGGCAATTCACTGCCACATGAGTGCATTCCTGACCTGTGCTCTTGGGCAGGGACCCTGTATTTCTCCTGCACCCCCAGGACTCAGCCCAGCACCGTGTACGTCATGGAGGCTCTCTGTGTGGACACAGATTCCATTCAAGTTCATCATTCACACTGCCCAATTCCCAGCCCCACTCCCCAGACAATGTAGCCGGAAACTGGTGGATGTTTAACAAATGCAGTGAATCCTCCTTTTTAATGCCAGACTAAACCATTCATTTGGGAACCATTCGCTTGCTTACACCCAGGCAATCTGGTTGAAGATGCAGCGAGCAAGGATAAGTTGGGTTCATTTTGAAATTAGATGACTTGGGGTTTTGAGTCCTAACTCCAACATTTTTAAACTGTGTGACCCCAGACGTTCCTTCACCTCTCCCAGTCTGTTTCCACACCCCCAGAGATGTGCCTGGACCACCTGAAGCTCGCCCCCCACCTTCTTCCTTCAGGCTCAAGTCTGCCCTTACCTGAGTTGGCGAGAGCAAGGGCCTTGAGCGTTACAAACTCCTCCTTCTCCACCTTGAGCTTCTTGTACCTGCGCACCAGTTGCAGGATGGCACGGTAGAGCTCCAGCAGCCCAGCCAGGCGTGAGTGCTCCTCATCCATGATGTAGTCCTCAGCGTACACCAGCTTGTCATCGTAGGGCAGGGAGCGGTACACGATCCCCAGGATGAGGATCTCCATCCAGGCGCTCTGCAGCAGGCTCATCTGGTCCCCCAGCGAGAGATTTGAGAAGCCTGTGGGAGAGGGGGGGAGAGGAGAGCAGCAGCAGTTAGGAGGGTGGACCGGGGCCTCTCTGGAGGCCAGGGGTGGGCTGTGTTCCTGGCATCTCCAGATCCTGCTGGGTGGGGGCATAGCTCTGTAGCTGCTAAAACCGCTGCTCTCCCTTGGAGAATGAAGTCAGACTTGGAATTTGTGGCAAAGACTTACCTAACAAGAGCTCAGTCAATGCTGACAGTTGTTATTATCACCATGATTGTTAGTTCTAGGGTATTTTTCAAATGTCTGGAGAGACGTCATGATTAATTAAATGCATCTGTAATTTAAGAGTTATTGAAATCATAGCTGGATCAGGAGAGGCAGCTGTACAGGGTCCCTTCCACTCTGGGAGTTTCCAGGCTCCTCTCTCCTTCAAACCAGGTGGTGGTGTCGCTTTGCGCTTTAAAATGATACCTGGCCTCTCTGTGAAGTCTCAGCTGTAAGAGACCCATGGCCAACCAGGAAGGACTCGGCCGTTCCCAGCCACCAGCAGAAGCCAGGGCCCACTGGGAGACCAAAGCCCCTGTCAGGGCACTTTCTCGCCAGGCAGTCTTTCCCCAAAGGAGTCAGACACTCACCACCTCCGGCCATCACTCTCCCTTAATGATGACCCAGTGGCTCCATTCTGGGAGCTGGAAATCACTGGGGTTTCCCCTCCCTGCTTGCAGGAGACTGGCTTTACAATGAAAGGAGGCTGGGGGCGGGGAAGGAGCCAGAACCTAACACTGACTCTTCAACATGCTGCAGACATTGCCTGGCTGGCCTTGAGCCCTAGTGCCTCATGTACTAGCTGCCCCAGACCTTGTGGAAGCCATGCAACTGCTCCAAACCTCAACCTCCTCATCTATGAAATGGGCAAAACATTAGAGGCACAGAGAGCAACTGTATGGTCTGCTGAGACGACAATTACACAGCTGATTACAAATGAAGATGACATACTGGAATTGCATTGTATGTGGATTTAGCTTAGTACTTGCTTCACAAGAGGGCAGGAGAGAGAAAGTTAAGTTGACTGACTTTCAAATATCTTAACCACTAAACACATGGCAGTGACTTCACGGGGGGCTGAACTGGAAACAGAGTGATTGGTTCCAACACTGATCATGCTAGATTTATCAAAAGAAGGAAAAGAAGCCACAGAGACATTTGCACCATGCATGAGTAACTGAAAAGAGGGTTTTCCAGGGTAATTCTGCTCATGAAGAAACTGACTTAGAACCCCGCCTGCCTGCTGCTTGCAGATGTGGGGGTGGGGTGAAAATGAACACAGGGTGCACACACAGCACGCGGCAGTGCCCCCAGCACACACTGGCACCAGCCTGGACTCCCCAGCTCCTGCATGGCCCAACTCTTTGGACTTCTGTGGCCTGTCCCCCCTCTCAGCTGCTGTCCTCTGTCTCTCCCTGTTTTCCATCCAGAGCAGGACTCCAGCCTACCACTGTGTTCCTGGAGCAGGCTGCCCTTGCCTTCTGCCTTCCTAATGCAGCTGCACGGTTCTGGTCCCATCTGTGCAACATGGGCTGTGGATCTCGGCCTGCTGCTGGAATCCACATACGATCCACCGAGGAGGAGCTAGAAGGATCATACCTGTGGGAGCGGATGAGCACTGGTAGTCCTGCCTTCTCAAGGGAGAGACTGGGACACAGGGGTCAGCTGTGTGTGTTGCTCTCCATATTCCTGGCACAGGAGAGGGTGCACGGCCACCCAGGAGGCCCGGGGGAGCCAGAGGTAATAAAAGATAGATAGAAATGGACATCCAATTTCCCTTATCAGGTCTCTGAGTTGGAGAGAGGCCTTGGGCGACATTAATTAACAGATACCAATCAGCCGGCATGGGAGAATGGGGGGAGGGGTTTGCTGGACCACACAGGGAGGGGGTGTGTGAAGGCAGATAGACTGGGAGGGAAGATGGAGGAGGAGGGTGGTGGTAGTAAAATTAATAGACAACTGAGCCAGAAGGTGCCAGAGAGGGAGGGTGAGGCAGGAAATGCAGGAGAAAAGACCTCAGTGAGGTGAGCCACACAGGTACAATCCTTACAAGAATAACACCAACATGCTTCTGCTCCTTTGGTCAGTCAACACATGTTTACTGAGCACCTACTAAGTGCCAGGCCCATGGTAGGCACTGGGGACACATGGTGTGTTCAAGCAGAATTGCTGCCTGACTTCAAGAGCTCACAGTGACGAACTGGTCCTGTGTCACTAAGTGTCACAAGTCAGCAAAGTTATGATGGTAAGAAGAGCCACAGTGAATGGAAGGCTCTGAGAACATGCAATGGGAATGTGTCCCAAAGGAGGGTCGGGAGGCCTTGCAGAGGGGGGATAAGGGAAGAACCTCTGAAGTGGGAGGCGAGGGCACCCCTGGGTATGAGGCACCCACTGAGGTGCAGATAAGCTGCTGCCAGCCCAAGCCCTGAGCTCCCAGGGAGCATGGATGCCGGGGTGTACCCAAGAAGGGCCCAACAAGGGTTCACAGCAGAGGAGACAATGGGCAAACACCACAGGCCTGAACTCTGCCTGGCAAGAAGTGTACCCAAAACACTTCTTGGAGCCTCTAGAGTTCAGATTAGGCTGCCTCTGCCCATGATCGTGTGAGTGAGGGATCTGCTACGTCCTGTGGTGGTGGCGATGGCTGTGCTCCCATGGGGGGAGGCCGGTTCAGCCCCTCTGCCAGGCTGGTCTGAGTGTAGGCTCAGCCCCAGGTTCTCTCTACCTTCTTGCCAAAGTCCTAGAAAGAGCTTTGAAAACCCAAACGGACCCCCTATGTCCTGATCTTCATACACAGGCTGCTTTGTTTTGTGCAAAGAAGTGGAGGGTTATGTTTGCCATCTCTGACATACACTGAAATAACTCCAGCTTTTCTAATATGTGAAAAAAGAACCGCTAGAAAAAATAATGAGAAACAAACGTGGCTCCCTCTAGGAGAGGCCAGGAGGGGACAGGGATGAAGGCAAACTATCTGTATACACGTCTATTTTTGGATTCTGGATCCCATATTGACAGGGCCTAAGAGGTTTAAAAATAAACCATAACTATAACCTTCCAATTTATTAGCAATGCCACTGCTAGGAATGCCTCCCAGAAAGAAATGTATGCAAAGGTAAATGTAAAAGGCTGGAGTTAGATCACTGTTTGAAATGACCCAAAGCAGAAAATAGCCTAAATGTAAATCGTGTGATGAGTAATTATTATATAAATGCAACTTTTAGTTAAACAATTAGCGCATAAGAAATGGCCAAAAAGAATGAAGTAGAACTGTTTTGTGGATGTACGAAGACACCCAACAGCAGAAGGAGGGCGCTGGCATTAGGACCAGACTCCAGGGCCGGACTGTCAGAATCCTCATTCTGTGGACCACTTGAGATGACCCTGGGCAGATCCATGCCCTCAGGCCTCAGTTTCCTCATCTGTACAATGGGAACAATGACAGCACTTTCCTCGTGGGGTTGTTCGAGTTACATGAGGCCCCATGTGGAACACTTCAAACTGTGCTTAGCACACAGTACACGTTATCACTTTATCTAATTAAGAGGAAAAGTGGATGTAAAGCAGTGTTCAATCCGGTGTGGTAGTGCTTGTCTATAATCCCAGCACTCAGGAGGCTGAGGCAGGAGGATCACCATGAGTTCTAAGCCTGGGCTGCACAGTGAATTCAACGCCAGCCCGAACTACATAGCTACACCTTGTGTCAAAAACAAAAAAGCACATACATGGTAGTTGTACATGTACAGGAGATTCCCAGAAGGCTGCTCAGGGTGGGGGGTGGTTAGAAGTTTTGGGGCTGGGGATTTAGCTCAGTGGTGCCACCACCTGCCTCACAAGCGCAAGGTCCTGAGTTCAATCCCCGGTACAAAAACAAAAAGAAGTCGTAATTCCCACATCTGTCACATCTGTCCAGTATCTTCACTAGAAGTTTCGTATTTTTCTGATCTTTGCATTTTTTAAATTTAAAAAACCAAACAAAGGAGCTGAGGCCAAGGCTCCCCCTTGCCCTTCAGGAAAGCACCATCCATTCCCACTGGATGGCCTCTCCTTCACCGAGAAATTAGGGATTCTGGGCCAGCAAGGCCCCTGGGTGGGCAGGGCTGACCTGAGGGGCACTGCCCACACCAACATTCTGGCTCTCAAGCTTCTCACAAGGAGCTCTGTGCCCCAGGGAAATTGCTTTACTTCCCCTGGCAGATCTAATAACACCCAGACCCAATCCAAGCCCCATCCCCCAGTGATCTGGCCCCACAAGCTCCTAGAATTAAAAAAAAAAAAGCAGCACGTAATTTGTGGCAAGTGGAGTTCATAATCTGTTAATTTATGATCGTCTTTGCCGACCTGGAGGGCCATTAGAGAGGTAATAAAGGGAGATGTAATTATAGGATCTGGGGCCACTTCAGACACAGCTGCTCTCACTCGCCAGCTCATCTTTCATCCAGCCAGACAGCGGCTACCTGGGAGCAGGTCTCTGGCAGGATCCCTGGCAAGGAGGCCTCCGGGGATGCCCTGCAGGTGGGGCCTAGGCTGGACAGCAGTGGTGGTGATTCCCCACACAGGCTCTCCTGGCCAGACAGGCAGGCTGCCTGGGGAGGGCGGATACCCAGCTAGTACCATGCAAAGGCCGAAGTTCACACAGGGCTCGCTCCCCTGCCTGTTAAAGGCTGCTGGCTCTCGCTCTTATCTCTTGCTCACAGGAAGTAAGAGATAGATGCTCTGAAACTTGGATTTGCCCTCCAGGAAAATCCAACTCAAGGTAAAAATCTTGGTTTGGAGTACGGTGACAAATGGACCCAAACAATGGCTGCTTTACTGAACAAATCACAGGCCACACCAAGTTCCATGGAACTCATCCTAGTTCCAAAAGGTTCCCCAAGGCAGAAATTAATCTATAGTTTCGAGTTTCGCTTTCTAAGGTTCCAGTTACCTGAGGTCAAACACAGTCGGAAAGTATTAAGGTAGAAAATTCCAGAAATGAACAATTCATAAGTTTAAAATTATGCAAAGTTCTGAATAATGATGAAATCTCATGCCATCATGCTCTGTTCTGCCCAGGCAATGAATCATCCCTTTGTTCAGTGTATCAACACTGTATCTGCTACCCACCCATTGGTCATTTGATAGCCGCTCAGTTATCTGGTCAATTGTCACAGTATTGCAGTGCATGTGTCCCAGCAACTCTCATTCCACTTAATAACGGCCCCCAAATACAAGAGTTGCAAAGGAGGCACCAGGACAAAAAACACGGAAGGACAGACTGCTTCTGACACTACATGGCAACGCTGTAGGGCATACAGAAAAATATGATCTGTACAGAGGACTCCAGTATATGAACCTAAAGGTTTCAGGCATCTACTGGGGGTCGTGAAACATATCCTTCATTAACAAGGGGCGCTCTGAGTCTTGGTCTCTGCCACAGCTCTTAGCAAGAGACGCTACACACCATGAGTGTTCACTCTGTGCACATAAAGGCAAGTATGTAGTGCCCTCTGTATACCAGAGGGTGGAAGACACTGAAATGGTCCCCTCTGTCTAAGGACAGTGGCCTCCTCAGAGCTCTAGTTCTGAGCAGTGAAGTGGCCAGTCCTTTCTGTCTGTCCCAGAACCAGAAGGCACAGGAGCCAGCCCAGGCCTTAGGGTGGGCTCCAGCTCTGTGCACCCTCTTAGCCAGCCTTCTCTCTCTCTTCCTCTCCCAGGGCCGCTGAGCCTGTCTGCAGATGAGCTTGGCATCTACTGGGATTAAGTTATTTGTTTAAAGATATGAGGCACTTGATATGTCATTGCTCTTTTTTTTTTTTTTGGTACTGGGGATCGAACTCGGGTCCTTGCGCTTGCGCAGCAGGTGGCAAAACCACTGAGCTAAATCCCTGGCCCTGTCATCGCTCTTAATATGAGGTGTACACACAGTGGCAGATTTTATTAATTAATTTTACCTTAAACACTGGAAGGTCAGGCCCAAATAATTCAGCATGCAGATTTATGCAAAATAAGCAAATTACAATCTGAGACAGACAAAGGAATTCAGCTTTGGATGAAGAGAAATGATGGTGGAAAAGAAGGCTTTTATCACTGGTAACAACGCCACCCACGCCAACAGTCTGGCATTTATCAAGTACCCACTGAGCAGGCTGCATCTTTCCAGCAATCTCCCAAGCAGGGCTCTAATAGAAGTCCCATTTCACAGATCAGGACACTGAAGCTTAGAAAAATTAAGCATCTTGCACAAGGCCAGTAAGAAGAGAGCTAGGATGGGGGCCCAGGCTGGCTGACTCCAAAGTCTATGTCCCCAGCACCCACTGTGCTTTGCTTCTCCCTCATGTTTGGGCACAGATAGAAGAACAGGAGCAAAGAGATAGGGTCTCGTGGTCCTGTCCCTTCCCTTGGAGATGTTATAGGAGTGGCGTGATGGAAGGAAGAAGCAGTGACCCAGGGGACCGCCAGGCGCCACTCCTGAGCCATCCCCAGGATGTAGTATCTACTCCACTGGAAACAGGAGAGCGGGCCAGGACAGGGGTAGCTGTACCCAATTTGGTCCTGGGTTAGTGGAGCAATCCAGGCTGAGGTGTCTTAGCAGTGGCCTGACCCCACATGTGTGCTGAGCCAGCACTGGGCAGATTCAGAAACTACTGAGTGTGTAATCCCTAAGAGGCTGAGCTCCTTAGTGCGGGCACACTGGCTGGGCCCCTGGCGAGCCCACTTCCAAGTCAGAATACCCAGGGGCCACCAGGAAGTCCCCTAGGCTTCCAACCAGCCAGGTGGCAGCCAACAGCACCTCCAGGCCACCCATTCTCTCTGCAAGGCCCTGTCCACAGGAAGGCTCCTTCCTGTAAACTGCACACACAAGGTGTCACAGGACTTTTCTGATTCAACTTAAGCAACTGTGGGCTTTGGCATTTAACATCCCAGACACTTTTGCTATAGCGTCATGCATGCAGTATTCATCTTCCAGGGTGTGGCAAACAAAAACAGGATCTGCAGACCGGAAGATAAACTGTCCCATGTCACACAGTTAGAACTAGGATCCATAGGGTTGGGGATGGGGTGTGACTGCCAGAAGAGTAACAGGATGTCTCCACCACACCGAGCCAGGTTGTTGGAGCAAAGGAGAAAGGTTCCTAAGGTTGTGCAGTGTAACAATCTGTAGGCATCCGTGTCTACAAAAATAAAAATGAGCTCACACCTTTACCCAGACCAAAAGAGACTAAGAGTGGGGTCTGGATCCACATGGAGTGTGGAGAAGCCCATATGGCCTAAAGCACATTCCATAAACTTCTGACAACAGAAATGCTCCTAGATCATGGAATCCAAACAGAGCAGTAGGTGCTGTAAGAGAACAGGCAGGGGAAACAGTGAGCATGCAACTGCCCAGGGCTCCGCACAAAGCAGGTGCTCTTAACTCACAGTTTGGAGGTCAGGGGACCTGCCCAGGGTTACACAGCCAGTAAGCTGTAGACCCAGAATTTCCCTTCCAATCTCATTCCTAATTCCATGCTTTTTTTTTTTTTTGGTACCAGGAATTTAACTCAGGACGTTGTGCTTGCCAGGCAGGCGGCGGAACCACTGAGCTAAATCCCTGGCCCCACAATTCCATGCTCTTAACTGCTCCTCTGTGCCTGCCTCTAGATAACGAAAGAGAGCCAATCCTTTTAGCAAGCTGTTTCTAGCATAGTCCAGAAAGGCCTATAGGGAAACCCTACCCTGTTTTGTCCCTTAGGAAACTTGTCTCGTAGCTCCTTCCAGAATGAGAAGTGGTTCTTTAGAGCCCACAGCAGCTCATAAGCACTTCTGGGCTTTCCAAACACTCACTCCTCTCCAATCCCACAGGAGAGTCAAGGACCCCAAGGAGGAACAGGCTTTCGAGGATCTCCTAGGCCGCCTGGGTGCCATGCATCAGGACCACAGCCATGGCAGGCCTTGAGGAGTCTGGCCGACAGCCCATGGCCACACTTTCCCCCAGCCTCATGACTCACCTGGGATGTGCTTGGCCCAGCCAATGATGACCACGAGCTCCCGGTCCACCAGGTCACACAGGGTGGTCAGGGCCTTGATGTCCCCCTCAGGCATGCCGGCAGGAGGCATGGCATACAGCTTGTCTGGTTCAGCCACCAGTAGGTATGAGACAATCTTGGTCACTGCAATGACCGGAGAGAAAGGTAAATGCCTGGGCAAAGAGGGATCAAGCAGCATGGAGCCTGGGGTGGTCAGGAAGAAAAATCAGGTTCCTAACAACCCCAGGAAGGTTCAATGTGGCCAGAATCTCCCTGCCCATTCAACACCACAAAGTCGCAGGTGGCAGTGATTCGGGCTATTGGGAGATCCCCTCCAAGAGAGTTGCCTAAGCAATCTCTTGGGAGAAACCTGCAGAGTACCCTGGGGTGGGGGAGGAGGGGAGCAGGCTCTTGCTGCTGGGCGGGGCCTGTGGCTTCTTAGGGCTGCGCTTCACATGGAGTCACAGCCTGTGCCGTCCCATGTGCTCAGGCCTTGGAAGTGAAGCTGGGCAACGATGCCAGGCACTAATGTCCCCTCCCCAAGATCCACAATGTCCCATGACCCAGTGGTGGGGAGACGGCACTTCCCTAAAGGACGCCGGATGTTCCAGGTACAGAAGCTGGGAAAGGGACAAACAATCCCCTGGTACGCACTTGGCTTTTTAGCAGGTGGAGAAATTTGTAGGCTCAGGTATGGGCTGCTCTCAGAGTCCAGCCGTCGCTTGTATTTCTGGCGGCCTCCACGCACTCGGTCAAGGCGCACACCTGTTAGGGAGGAAAGGAAGACAGTGTCAGGAGCGGTCAACATCACCAGGGCTGCTAGTGCTGATCAGAACTTCAGCACTGACTGAGCCCTTCAGGGTCATCCGTACACAGCCAGCCTCAGGAAAGGTGGCTGGACAATGCTGAAACAATCATCTAAGAGTAAGGCCCCAGGGCAGTTGCCCAGGACTGCTCCTGCCTCTCTGGAGCAGTACCCTCCTGAAACCCATCCAGGGCAACCTCCAGCTCAGGGGTCTTTGTGCCTCCAAAACTGAAAACACAGCAAAGCCCTCTACCAAGTGGTGGGGGGAGAAGTCACAGTGCGTTTGTGTTAAGTCAACTTGGTGTCCAGGGAGGGAGGAGTCCATTTGTGCAGCGGCCCTGCGTGGGCGGGCACTTGCTAAGAGATGAACGCCACCTTCAGACTTTCCACAGAAGCAGCATCGGGGTGGGTTATCATTACCAATGTCAATATCTGAGTCCCACCCACTGAGATTTGGGAAGAGGGCTCTAGAGTGTTTCACAGTGTCCGCCAGGATGGGGACACAGGCGGTCCTGGCCACCCTTGGGAAACCCATGCCTAGAGATCTCTCAGCAGCAGGTTTAGGAGCTATGGGGGCTACTCCACACTGACATCCATTTCCAGGAGTGAGGGCCTTGTTATCGCCGGAGACAGCCCTGTCACGGACGATGTGCCCTTACGGCCTTCCAGAAGCCGGCCCCATCTGCAGCTCCTGCTGCCTAGACAGATACCTCCCACCCACAAATCGAGGACAGGAGCCTTCGGGTGGGCGCCTCACCCAAAGGCACACATGCTCACACTGGCCACCAACTGACGAGAACTAACACAGGAGCCAGAGGGCAGGACAGAGAAGCAGAGCGGGCAGTGGGGTAGAAGGATGGTGCTGGGGTCCCTGGTGGCCTGGGATCCACTTCTGCTTTTGTGTCTCAGGCTCTCCTGGGCCAGCCCTAAAGCAAGGCCCCTTCTTGGATTCCTAGACTTGAGCAACCATGAACAGCTCTTCTCTTGACCATGAAGTGGGCCTTGGTGAAACATAAAAGTCAGCGGCAAAGACCAGAGTTCTGAGAAGGCAAGCACAGCTGCTCCCTCGCCTCCCAGGCCTCTCTCATTTCCCAAAGGTCCAAAGTACTGCCCTCAGAGGTCCAGTCAGCTCAACACAGGGCCCAGCCTGCCTCTTGCCCACACACTCACACTTCCAGATCTGAGGAAGCCATGGGCCTGCAGGAGAAGCAGCGAGAGTCCTTCCCCGAGTCCTGTGCCTCTTTGTCCCCAGCCCCAGGGTCAGGTCTTTCTCCAGGAGAAACAAGAGAAAGCCGGAGTGACCGTAACTATCCCTCTTTCCCCCAGAATAAGATCTACCCAGAAAACAAGGGCTCATTTTCAGGGGATGTCTCCTCTAAAATCATGTTAGAACTTGCTTTCTGGGCAGGCCTTATTTTGGGGGAAATATGGAAATGGAATCCATGGTTTAGATCCTATTCACACCAGGGGTGATTTTCTTGTTTTTTGATAGGCTACACAGCTACTATGTAGTTCGTAGTACCTGTCCAAGTACCTGGGACAAGAGGAAGTCTCCTACATCAATGACAACAATGCAAGGTCAAATGACTGTTTGTGCAGTGGGCGGAGACAGTTCCTTTAACTGCTCACTGACTGCCCTGAGGAACTTCAGGATGAGGAGTGCTGAGGACACCTACGCCCATCCAGCTAAGGGCTCCAGCCCCTCTCCTCCTCTAGAGGACAAAGATGGGAGCCCACAGACCCCTCACACCACCTGAAGGGACTCTCTTTGGGGCTAGTTACTACTCAGGACTTGCATCAGCAACATCATTTTTACCCCATAAACCCAGCACTATTGTACCTGGTACTGCACATAGCTATAGTGAACTTTTTTTTTTTCAATGGAGGGATCCCACCCGTGATTTCTATTTAAAGGTAACTCCTATACTGGGGTCATCTGGTCTGGGACTGTGCCCCACCCCCACTGGATGTCTGAGAGGTCTGGGATCTCCTTGCTGTTTGGGAAGGCAGAGCTGACCCTGTAACGCAGCCAGCTTACAAAGGCACATCCATAGGTGAGGACTAACTGGACAACAGAGCCCTCCCTCAGAGGGTATGGGCAGCTCCAAGTCCTGGTTACCGCACTTCCTGCTCCTGGGCGCTCCAGGCTCTTCTCCAGCATGAAATATGGTCCTTAGCCTCTGAGGAGCCTTCAGCAACCCCGTCGCCCTTCTGCTTTTAGGGTTAGAAATGGTTGTCACAGAGCAAAATGTGCAAAAAGCAGTTTCAGAGAGGGAAGGAAGCACCAAGTGCTTGTGCTCCTGAGCAGGCGACTGCTGGGAGAAGCTCTAGAGTCAGTGGAGTCAGGCCTTGGTCAGGTCCACCAGCCGCCACGTAAGGCTTCCCTGGCACTTCCTGCCTGCCTCCCTGGCCCTGCCTAAGCTGGCTGGTGACCAAGGAAAGCTCCAGGGCAGAGCTGAAGCCCTGGGCATCAGATGGGCACCTACAGGAAGAGAGTGTCAGGCAGTCTCTGATGCCTCTCGTCTCAAAGTGTGGCCTGAATATGGACCATCTCTGGGGCTTGCTGGAAGTGTTAGTGTCTAAGCCCTGCCCAGGAGAATCAGAATCGGCCCCTGGGAAGGGGCTTGGTACATGCTGTGGAATCTGGGTCAGGGCCCTGGGCTCTAGGGCATCCCAGCAGCACCCTGGGCCTCTGGGGACAGCTGAATCCCACCTGGCACAAGCCTGCCTCCTGCAGTGAGGGCAGGAGGAGCAGACTCACAAGCTAGGAAGGAGGATTACTCTCCCAAGGCTTTGGGGAAGTTGCCTGAGTGGAAGAGTTTCTGTCCTAACCCCGCAACACATCTACATAGAAGACCCCTGCCTATGAGCCAAAGCCCTCACTAACTGAAGTTTACTCCCCTCGAAATGGTGACAAGACCAAGGTGAAAATCCAAACCTCAGCCATACAGGACAGTGAGGACCCCCACCTACCGAGCAATTTATCTGTGCAGGGTGCAACGTGTCTTCTCACTCCTGAGTCCAGGAGGAGCCCTGCCCCTTCTCTCCGAGCAGCCAAGTCTCACAAACCCTCTGTCCCCACCAGCCAAGCCTCACCCAGGTGTCTGTCAGCCAGAGAGAGAACTACTCAACAAAAAATAAAACCAAGCTGGGTGTGCCTATCATCCCAGCACTCTGGGGGCTGAGGCAGGAGGACGGAAAGTTTGAGCTCAGCTTCGGCAACTGAATGACTTAATGAAACCTTGTCTCAAATTTAAAAAAAAAAAAGCTGAGGATGTAGCTCAGTGCAAAAGCCCTGGGTTCAATCCCCAGTACTGTAAAATAAATAATACACTGATTAATAAATTTAAACATCTATTGCTCAACAAAGCAAGGAGATGGGCAGCTGCCAAGTCTGCCCGTGCCTCCTTCTGGAATGTTCTCTGACCCAGTACAGGACCCGAGCCTTGGTGACGAATATATAAATGGCTGTGCCTCTTTCCTCCCCAGCTCCACAACAGGCTGGGGGTGCTCCAGGAGCTCCTAGGGTTCCCCTATCTATCCCCTAGGGCCCCCAAAGGCCAGGGTGCTTCCGCTAGGATCTGCCATGGTACCTGGTACCCACTGGGTGCTTAGGACATAGGAATTAGTGCTGTTCTTATCACCATCCTTATTCTAAGGCTTTCTGGTTAAGTCACATTAACAATAACAATAATGTCCCATGATGAATGTGTTCATCATGTATTCCAAATGTAGTACTAATAAATAATGTCTAAACGAATGATAGAATTCACAGGACAGAGGTACGCATCACCCTATTTAATCCAAAGAGATAACGCAGCTGTTTTGTTCTTCATTCTACAAATAAAAAACACAGGCTTGGAGAGATTCAGTCATTTGCCTAATATGAGAGCCAGTAATGAAGTTCCTTGCCATCCCAATGCATGACTTTCCAGGAGAAGGCAAAGAAAAACTCTCCTCTAAATTTTCTCCTCCAGATCTTTACAGCCTAGTGGTCAATGGTGCTGATCAATAAACATTATCAATTATCAGCTTGTTTTGTCTGAAAAAAAGAGAGAGAGAGAGCGAGAGAGAGCCTGTGGGGTTTGATCATGCACAACTGGAGCCAGGTGTGCAGCGTTTGTTCTCCCCGCCCCACCCTGGGCACATCTCCTAATCGCTCCAGGCAGGGGACCAGAGGTGGGTTCCAGGCCAACCCGTGTCTCTCGGGAGAATGCGGGCTCTTGCTGAGTTGGCCCTCAGGCCTCAGTTTTGCCATCATGCATGGAGAGGAGGCAGTGGTGACGACCAATAATAAAATGGTTCATGGCAAGGCAGCTCCAGCTGGCCTGGGTGGCGTCTCCACCCTGTGCCTCAGCAGTCACCTGGCACTTGGTCCCCAGGCTACCACGGGCTCTTTCCCTCCATGCCCTTTGGCTATCAACACAGTGGGTTCTTAGGGACACGGCCCAGGCCAGCTATATTTCCTCCACTCCTCCACTCCTGTCCCAGTCAGGGTTTGCCTGTGATCACTGAGGGTGAGGGTCACAGACCTGGGGTAGGGAACAGTGGCCTCCACATAAAGGGAGGGCCCTGTCCCTCCTGCCCACAGTGCTTCCCAGGGCAGTGGCTATCTGAGGGTTCAGCCCCTCAGTGAGAAGCCTTCCAGACCCTGGCAGGGTCAGCACCAACTGTGTCCCCTCAGCTCATTCTCTATGACAGCAGTGACAACAGAAGCAGGACAACTCCCACTCCCCCAAGCAAGTGTGTGCCACCCCTGAGTGGACCTGGGCACATCCTGGGCTAGGACTTTCCCTTCTCCCTGTGGGCTGAGCCTGGCACCGGCCTGTGGTTGGCTGTCAAGGGCCTGATAACGTGCCCATTCGGAACAATGCCCCTCAGAGCTGGGAAACAGGACCCTCAGGGCCCCTGCCTTCCACAGCTGCTCTTTGTCCTGCCGGCCTCCAGAGCTCCCCTCCCT